TATTTCTTTCAAAATAAATGAGTCCATGCATATTTTATCATGCCCTGAAATCCATACATTAAAACATTCGACCACATGGGGCAGCTCATCTCGGTGGCCTCAGAAGTAAGAGGAATATGCCAATAGCAGCTCACAATAACAGAGATCATGCCCAAACAATGTGTGACATGTGACACCTACAGTAAAATAATATATTGTGTTGTGTTCCTGCCAGAGACTCCAGCCAACCAATCATGTCTTCTCTGAGATTATTCCAGCACGTTCCTCCTCTCTGCACCTCTTCCCACCCTACCCCCCCAAAAATGCAAGGCAGCATTTGAAGCCATTGTGCATGTTCAGGCCTTTTTAACTTGGTCAATGGTTTCCTCTACTCTTCCTTAAGAATTTTTTCCCCGTTTTCTATGAATCTTGACCTCTCCCTGAGCTTGTTTATAACTCCATCTTGTGTATTCATAGCACAATTTTAGCAGTGGGAAGATCCATATTTGGAAAATCCATTTGCTAACTGTAGCAAAGATTCTTCTGGAAGTTTTAGAATGATCTAAGCTACCTATAGGTTCAAATGACCATTCATTGTGGTGCAAAAAAAGTAAGGGCAGGTATTGAAAATGGACAGGTACATTCTTAATTTAAATCCATTAATTTTAAGGAGCCTCATGCTACAGAGTTAGAATAAGTAAGTTAACCTAACCTGACCAGACCAAACTCAAACTCTAAACTGAAGTTGATCCAAGATGGACCACAGGAGAACTTATTCACATCACGGTTCTAAGTCCAAAGCAGCCAATCTTGACTGCACAGCAGTGCAGTGAGCCAAGTTCCAGGAACCAGGCTCGGCAGTTTCAGAGAGAGCTGTGAACAGATGCTTTGGAAAAGAGACAGCAGGTGTTCCTTGGTTTAAAAAAATGCCTGCAAGGAAGATGTTAGCAGAGATGGTAAGAAAGGCCCACAAGGAACAGGGAAAGAGCTTTGCCAAAGAGTCGTGAGAAAGAGCTCTTTCTGGGATCCAAGAGAGCTGCTGCCAGTCAAAACAGACAACACTGGGCAAGGAAAGCCAATGGATTAACCCAGTGTGAGGAAAGTTTGTATGCTGGCCAGCATCACTGCAAGTTAACTTTGCTGCTTCTGTCTGCCAGTGTTGCTGCAGTTATAGGTCAAGAGCTCAGGGAATTCAGTCCTTCATTTTTTTTTTTTTTTTTTTTTGCTGTGTATAATGTTGACTGTCAGATAAAAACAAGTTTTGGCAAACTCTGTCCTGTAGATTCAATAACAAATCCTAATGACAAAAAGATTGCCTATCTCCCATCCTCCATTCTCTGGAGCCAAATTGTCAATTTCAATCATGTTAAAGCAAATGGCATGGCCTCTTTTAAAAGGCACGTGTATCTCTCTACTCCAAAGCACTCCAAGGAAAGCTGGGCAGTTTCAAAACTACGAGATATATCACCTCGCTCTCAAACTAAAACAAGTATGAGTAATACCCAGGCTGATTTTAATTTGAAAAGTATCACCTTAAAAAGATGTCAGTTCCCTGCTGTGAAAATTAAAACCATCTGGATGGCGTGATTTCCAATAATTAATGTAGCTCTCCTTTGACACAGTGACTAATTAAAATATGATACCCTCTGTTTTTTTTTGAGTACAACATTTGAATAAATTGTAAAGAGCCAATAAAATAATGGAGTAATTTTGGAAGAAATGAAAAATACCCTTTTTGGCTTTTTGACTAGGCTAAGAATCGTATAGCCAAAGCTTTATGCTAGCAAGAATTAAGCAAGGCAAAACTGAAGCAGGTATCCTTGGAAAACCACCAGGAACAACATCCAACCATCTCAGTTGCCACTGGGAAACAGGTTTCAAATGCACACACTTTAGAAACAACGTACTAGAATGGACAAGAGCACACCTACTTGGAAAGAAGTACTCCTCAGTTTAATCAACCACAAAGGTGCACAAGTGATTCCAGGCAAGCTTATGATTCTTGAAAACCTTGGGCTTCAGTCCCAGAGATCTCCAGAAGTTGTCATCATATTGGCATTTTTAATGAGACACAGGGTGGCAGAATGAAATACCCATTTTAAACTTAACACCAATTGATGATCTTATCCCTATAAAACAAAATCAAATTCAATTTCATTCTGGCTCCACCTACTGCATTTTAGAGCCTGGCCACTGACATCCTACTCAAAGACCCAGTGGGACCCCTTGCTTTGGACAAAGCTGCCCTCTTCTGATTTAAAGGATCATAATGTGAATTTGTGATGAGGCAAATGGACTATGGACCTTAAGGATCAGGGTATACAGTCTGAATCAGCCGATATTAGAGGCTGTGAGTCCACTTCTGGGATATATAAAGGCAGTTAGGCAAAAGGGTACACTAAGAGAAGGCCGCCCTGATTCCATCTGTTGTTTTTGTGGTTTATATATTGATTGTAAATAACTTTAGTCCTGCTGGGGTGTTAACACCAGTTGGAGCGCTGCACCCAAATGTCTTGTATAAAAGGTTAGGGTTGTAGATGCTAGCTCTCCCTCTTCAGTTCTCAACTTTTCTGCACTGAGCAAGTAAGTCTGAAGGGGGAAATAAGTACAACTCTTAGAAGGACTGGTGACCCTGCTTTATCAGGGTCATCAATCACTGAGGAGACTACTACTTGCATGCAAGTGAATTGAACAGTTGCCCTCTCCTTTTTAGACCTTGCCACTCAGCAAATGGGGGACTGATGGGGTGTGGCCAGGCTTCACAGGGACATGGAGTGTGGCCAGTGTTTGTACAGCCCCACACTTACACCCAATTGTTGCTTAATACGTGAACAGGGCTTATTGCCCGCTTCTGACTTTTATAGGGTGTGGAATGTGCTTGCACTGCTGAAGTGGGATAGTTTTTAATCAGTTCTATATTGTGAGATGGAACTGCAGGATACTCATGGTTCTACATTTTCAACCAACCTTTTAAAGGAGTCTTTATGGTGGGACAATATTTTTTTAAACAGGATCATATTCTTCAATGTTTTACCACTGAGTCACAGTCATGAGATGGGAGGCTATATAAGCCAGCCAGCCAGCCAGCCAGACAGACAGACAGATAGATAGATACCATTACAAAGTTGCGAACTGCACATTACACTACACAACCTATATTATTGAAAACCTATAGACCTGACTTCTTTGCACAATGGGAGGGGTTATTTGCGTGAGAGAAGAAGTGGCAAGGAAGAGTGCTTAACCCTTCCAGCACAACTTCCATTCCTAACTAGGTATAACCCCCAGGACACCTAGGCCCACATCTGCAAAATAAACATAGGCTGGAACTCCACAGAGTAAAAACTTCAAGAGGAAGGAATTTCAGAGAAAAAATAGCAGGCAAGGGAAACATTATGCACATATATCCTTCTCCCAAATCAACCTCTTCTGAATCAAATGTAATGCATAGCCTGCCGTGAGATTTGTCTCTTGAGGAAAAAGCCAGCTGCAATGCGCTCCTTCCGTTAGCAAATTCAAGGGGCAGTGCCAACAGGTTTGTAAGGAAATACAACTACTGAGAAATGTGGTCACTAAGAATCGACACCAACTTGATGGCACATAATCAATCCTGCCCCCCCCCCCAAATTCTGACTGCATTCTGCCTTTCCTCCAGGAGCTCAAGAAAATGTACATGATACTCGTCTCTCCAATATTTCCCACAGCAATGACCCTGTGGGTTAGGTTGAACCAATGCCCCCCCCCCCCAGAAAGAACCTCCCTTCCTTAACAAAATAATTCAGAATCTATTTGGAAGCAGTACTCCCTTTCACCCACCCAATAAAACCTGCATGCAACCAGTCTGCAAGGAATTTTGCCAAGCTTGTTTA